CTGTCAGATTCCAGATTTTCTAATAGTTGTATCTATAACAAACCATACATCAACGGAAAGCTTATTTATCAGCTTTCAGCTAATGTATAAATCTTAATTTAAAAAAATTGACCCTTATGACTGGTTTTGTGGTCCAGGGTCACATTTGATAGCTTTGTGTGAGAAACAGTAATTCGTTAATTACAGTAATTTGTTGTATAGTTGTGTAATTTTAATATGTACAATTAATTGCTGTACAGTTAGTGTTGTAAAATTTGATACATTAAGAGAACAACCTCGAAACAACAAACAGAACTACCAAATTTTGCTAAAGTTTGATTGCATCATATAATAATTGCTGTTAATAGTGTTCATCGTCTAATTGATTACGTCTTTAATTGATTTTTCCATACATTTCTCATATGTACATTAACTGACAGTCACCACTGATAAGCTACCACTAAATATTGTAGAAACTTAATTTGCTGTAAAGTTGCTTTGCAACGATTTGTATCGTGAAAAGCGCTGTACAAATAAACTTGAATTGAATTGAATTGAAAGTGTATAAGGTTGACAAAGGATGATCAAACTGTATTCTTATGCTTCATGGTTTAAAAAAAAGATGACAAAATTAAATTCAATTTGTCCCTTAGAATGCAGTTAGAAGATAGGGCTGGGTAGTCAGCAAAATTGTTTATGCATTACTCTACATCAATCATGCTTCTCAGTATAAACCTATATAAAGGGTTGAGAAACATAAATTGAATGAGCTGAATAATTGAAACAGTAAAAGAAACCTTCCTAAAGTTTGAATGGAATCAAAGCAAACAAGTGGAGGACCAGATATAATGACCACAGACCACACTTTTACCCACTTAAACTCACATACAACATGAAATACTGCACACAGGCACACAAAAGACCATCAACATTAAAGGCACAGCCCCAGCTCTCATAGAAACCAGCATGGTTAGATTGGACAACATGTACTATGAGTGCTTCTGCATGCTCAGCCTATCTACAGTCAATGGCGGTGTACGTTCCTGCAGTGCATCCAAGCAGAAGCAATGCAGCAAATACAGGGCATTCCAGCAGCATGCACCTCACCACAGCCAAAAACTTACTGCACGACTACTGAATACTCTTGAATAAGAAAAATAAAATAGTTCCTTGTATTCTGGTGATTCACTCAGCAACACATGTGATGGATATAGGAGGGAATGGCAACTCAACACTGAGATCACAAATGCTTTGTCACATTATTATTTTGAAAATGTAACAGAACATAAAATACAGTATATGCTACAAGGAACTGACCTATTATGAATCTGTGCCATATTACAATATGTTGTCTTATAAAATAACACTTCCCTCATGGCATTATGACCCCCCCAAAAGAAACTGTCAATAAACCTTCAGCTGTTTATTGGTATGAGTGAACAGACATTGACATCAAGGTCACTTCACTTGTATAAGAAACAGTTAATTATGATGTAGTATCATAATATCAGTCCTTGTGGTGAAGAAAAGCACATATTAAGAACTAGGTTACCCAGGAGTGGGAAGAAGAATGCATTAAATGCAAAGGACAAAAGACAAAAAAAAAAATCAGAACACTCTTAAAAAAATAAATAAATTCATCCACATCAATATGCCTTTACAATTTTAGCTGTAGAATGCAAAAAGTGCTTTCAACTATTTATTTTAAAGACAGTCATGTTTACCGTAATTCAGGGCTCTTACTCCTACAGTACATCTGAACTATTCTTAGTAACATCAAAACAACAATCAGTACTGAATGTACATGATCATAAGGAAATTGGGCATTTTTCAGATCATTATTATAAATGCAACAACCAGATTCTAGACAATCGTAATGTGCTGCCTCATAGCATAGTGTTAATATTTGATTTGATCTCTTAGCAAAGTGTGCACTGTTATTACCTCAGCCTATGTCTGTAAGGACATACAGTATATGAAAGTGGGGAAATTACAAATATTCAGATTCAGAGATTTCAAATCTGTGTAGGGGCATGAAATTATATATACAATGTACTATATAAACCCCACACACTCCAATATAATGTGCAAAATAATGTAATGTAATGTAAAATGTTTTTTTTTCGCCAAATACAATTTTCATGACTTCTCCAATTGTTTGTGACTACTTGAAAATGATTTCAGAGACTGCATTCACAACATGCCATTTCTATAACTAGAAAATATTATATGCAATAAAGATATTTCCATGACTTCAGGTTTCAAAATCTATTTTAAAAATCCTGATCACCGCGGGAACCTTAACAGAGAAAAAGGACGGGGCTTAAAAAAATAACACATATTAGCTTGGTGAAGAACAAAATGATGCTGACAGCTTTAGCTTAGTTATTCCAGCATTAAACTACTTACATAAACATACCAGTGTTAAATCACATACCTTCACTCAAAGACAAACAAACTGAGTTCACATTGACTATAAGAGTGAATCTTGAGGAAAGGCATCTTTATATAGCTAGTTAACACTTGCAAACCCAACAACTGAAGCTGAAAGGTAATTAGGCTCTTAGCAGAGTACAGGGGAGCATCTATGTCTCATAACATCTCCACTAGAGCCTTAAAGGGTTAGTTCACCCAAAAATGAAATTAGCCCATAAATTACTCACCCTCAAGTCATCCTAGGTGTATATGACTTTCTTCTTTCAGACGAATCCAGTCGGAGTTATATTAAAAATTGTCTTTGATCTTTCAAGCTGTTTAATGCCACTCAGCGGGTGTTGCATGCATCAGTCCAAAAGAAGTTAAATAAAAAACGCCCATCCATTAAAAAAAGTGTCTCACACGGCTCCGGGGGGTGAACAAAGGTCTCCTGTAGCGAATCGATGCGTTTTTGTAAGAAAAATATCCATATTCAAAACTAGCGTCCGACCGATATATCGTTTTGCCGATATGAGCCTGTCACCGATATATCGGTATCGGCGAATATGCCGCCGATATGCCGCTGATATGAAAAAAATTTTTTACAGCACATATAATGCATATAAAATGCTTGAAATGCTGTAATTACTTAGTTTGTCCAGCAGAGCGCCCTCCATTGTTTACTACTGGCGGCCTGGATGAAACGCTTTAAAGCTTAAGTCAATGGAAAACCATTGAAACTTTGAACGGCCATATCTCCGTAACGGCGTGGCGAATCCGCACCAAATTCGGGGGATCTCTTCAGCTCAAGGAACCCTCTCGAACGCAAATCGAGTGTACGTCTCGAGGCCCTCTTTCGAATGAGACCACCCCCGCATGGATAGACCCGGGGTTCGGGAGTTACGGGTGGTTTAATTCGCGGTCCAGCAGGCACGTTGTAACATGACCATATAACAGCTTAAAATCTTATCTGATAGAATGAAAAAAATATACAAGACAAACTAAAATATTTTGTTATTTAATGTATATTTGTTGTTTAAATAAAATAATGGCGTTTTTTAAGGATTAAAAATAATCAGATTTTGGAGTTTGACAATACACACATTGCAACCATGCTTGGAACGGCCCACATAAATGAGCAAAAATGCTTTACATGTCTTGAAATAATCATTTCTAAACATTAAACGTTGACTGTCAGTCTTTATTCACCTGTTTCTCGTTGTTTCTCATTAAAATTAATTAAAGTAAATAGTGTAAATGACATCGCTAATGTCATAGAATAGCACATTGTAACGCAGTGTTACAACGTGCCCCATCTGCGCAATTGGAATTTAAAACTGGTCAGTGTCTTCTGCTAGTAATCAAACCAGTAAAAAAATATCTGAACTGATAAATAACAGATTGGAGATTAAAATAATAGCAGATTTGTCTAATTTTAAATGAATAATAAAAACTGAGATACATTTTTTTTACTTAAGCCAGAATTTAAATGTTACTATGGTAAAATAAATATTCAAACCATGTGTGTTACAACTAACACCCCATTACTTTGTGCATCGCACTCATCGCAAGTTTATTGTTAAATTGTTAAATGCCCTTACATATCTCTGTCACCATTATAAGTGTTTGATCACCACATTTGAGTGATCATTGCAAAAAATGTGTTTATGTATATATATATTCTGTTTATGTATATACTGTATTCTATATATAGTACCAGTCAAATGTTTGGACACACGAATGGGAAAGTGTCCAAACTTTTGACTGGTACTGTACTATAATATACACAAAGAATATCAGCCGATATATCGGTATCTGCCTTTTTTTTTACTCCCTAATATCGGTATCGGCTCCAAAAAAACCCATATCGGTCGGGCTCTATTCAAAACGTAATAATCACTTTAATGTAGCTTGCGCCAACAGTTGAACACTGGAAGCAGTTCCGGAGGAATGACGTATGAGGTCAGCTTTGCGCATGCAAATTCGCTTATGGCATCCATTCGCTTTGTTCACCCCCGGAGCTGTGTGAGACACTTTTTTTTATGGATGGGCACTTTTTATTTAACTTCTTTTCGATTGATGCATGCAACACCCACTGAGTGGCATTAAACAGCTTGAAAGATCAAAGACAATTTTTTATATAACTCCGACTGGATTCGTCTGAAAGAAGAAAGTCATATAAACCTAGGATGACTTGAGGGTGAGTAATTTATGGGCTAATGGTGAACTAACCCTTTAAATGCTGCTTTGAACCTCTCACTCCAGTCAGCATTATGATCATGAAGAACCCTCCATCTGTACTGAAGATCAGTGATGGAGAAGACAGGATTAACACGTGCACCAGTGTGTGTATGTGCGTGCGCGCATTCAGGACTAGTTCGTGTGTTCTTCTGTCTGGCTTCATTTAGTCTCTTTCTGCTCTTTACATTGCCAAATAAACTAGATCCAGTCGGAAAACTCCCATGCGCACTAATCTGACTATGTGACGAGAAGGGCTGATTATACACCATCAGGACGGTAACAGACCGCAGACATTGAACACTGTTGGTTAATAAGTGCTCAGTGGAGCAGTCGACATTCTTATGATGTTGCTGTAAATGTCCTACCTTCCTCTCCATGGCTGATGGTTACTGTGGCCGGTTGTTAGCGAAAGGGCAGCGAATGGCAGATGAAGAGGCGGATGTGTGTCCGGCGCGATGGAGATGAAGTTCTTTATAGCTTGAAGCACAAGCACACACACACTCCCTGTTGCTTGGTGCTGGAGTGACTGGACAGAGAGGCAGAGCGGAGTGAAGAAGAGGGGGATGCAGCCAGAGACGGTGAGCGCTGAGGCGCAAGCGCGTTCCCCGCTGCTTCGAATAAAACTCGGGGGTTTAGAGGGAGCGTCATCAAATTACGCTCCGCTCCAGTCAGTCACTAACACGGGCCGTCGGAGTACAGTGGGAACTTTGTCGAACAGGCCTAAAATACTACGCAACTTGAGCGTGAAAAGCCCGCCAAATATCTGCACACGAAGATGAGAGTAAAGAAGAGATGGTGGTAGACAAGTTTACAAAGACCAGCTGTCACACACAAGCAGCCAAGAGCTTCTTCCTCACAATGAGCGCCGTCGATAATGTGATGCTCACCCCAAAAACTAAAGTTCTGTCATTATTTATCGTTATGTATCGTAAGTTCATACAGTGAGCAATCCTTTATGTAACCCTATTGATTGAACTAATTTTTAAGGATGCGTTAGCCTACTTTGTACTTCCCTTGCGTTTTGCCCATGTCCAGTAAGGCTCATCAAACATTCACTGAACAATGATAGTCTTCCAGCACTTCACTCATGTCATTACAACCCTCAGAAGAAACTGTTCATGAACCTTCAGATGTTTCTTGATATTAGTGAATGTTGACGTCAGGGTCACTCCTCTCATAGAAAAAAATGATGACAAGAGTATCACAATATCATTGCTGTTGGGCTCAGAAGAAAACAGAACTAGGCTACATAATCCTGAAGCCTGGGAAGCATAATGTGGATAACTACTGATGTCCCATCATTCTTCATTATTGCACTTAAGTCACATGAACTGCAGAAAATTGTGCTTTCAGAAGTATTTATTGGAGTTGAGACGCAGTTATTTTCACCTTATTTAACAAAGTATGGTAATGAGCACCAACAACCTTCCTGATGCCGATGTCCAACTTCACTCTGACTTACTCCTGACACTTGTATTAGCTGTCTAACAGATGTCAATGTCAAGGTCACTGATTATGTCAAATCTAGTCTCAGAATACATATATTTCTTTCTTCTTCTTTTTTTTGTGTGTGTGTGTGTGTGTGTGTGTGTGTGCGTGCGTGCGCGCGCGCGCGCGCGTTTTCGTGACGAATGAGGACATACATTTGTATAATGACAGGTATTACAAGGAGAAGGTGACTTTTCAGGACATTACCCCATGTCCCCACTTTTCAAAACGCTTATAAATCACACAGAATGGAGTGTATTGAAAATCTGAAATAGCACAAAGTCTCCTGTAAGGGGTAGGTTTAGGGGTAGGGTTGGTGTAGGGCAATAGAATATACGGTCTGTACAGTAGAAAAACCATTACGCCTATGGAGAGTCCTCACTTTTCACAAAAACAAACCTGTGTGTGTGTGTGTGTATGTGTGTGTGTGTGTGTGTGTGTTTTGTTTTTTTGCAATTATGATTTATTTTGAAGCAATATTCTCATTAGTTTTCTATCAGCTGTGACATATAAATCTGCACGTTTCTTTATATTTTATCCAAGGGCATTTAAAAAAAATTTATTAATACTTTCTTTTCAAATTCTTACATTTGATCTATAAATTCAATTACAATAATGTGATTATCTATACGTTATCAAATTAAATCATTTACACTGAAAAATACAACTGCATTAAATAATATTATGAGATTATTTTAAATGTTTTTGAATATACAAACAAGAAATGATGGTGGAAATGATACTTTTCAACGAAATTAAAACTCCAGTAGGTGTCAGTAGTGAGCGTTTAATGAGTGAGTCGTTCATTCAAATGATTCGTTCAAACGGCAGATTCATCAGATGTTTATGATGAAACTTTACCTCAACCGATTTGTTCAAAACACGGAATCAATCAGCAATGAATCGTCTGGTTGCTGTGAAATGCGCCGTGTTTCCGCCTAAAATGTAAGTGCCCTAATATTATTGTATTTGTATGAGGGGCAGTATAGGCCATAATTATTGAAAAGCCTCCCCACACCTGACCCTAACCTTAACCAGTGAAATTGACTGCACTGCGGGATTGGCGCTGAATAGTATGGTAAAGAAAGTGGCAGTTCAGCAGATAAACAGTTATTAAGATTATGCGATATGAGATCATTCCGTAACTCCCCAACCGGACCTCACCGAACAATGGCACCTTTTTAGTTACACCCAGCATCACTACCCCCGATCCTACCCTAAGAATTTCGAGCCCCGGTATGCCCCCGTTGCTTAGAAAAAAGCCATAGAGTAAAATCTTTCCCCTGCACTGTGCCGGGACGGCTGGCGGGAGAGCTCCTGAGTGATTCCCGTTTATATCATGAAGCAGAGTTTCAAACTCCAGTCTGAACACCACTGGCCAAGAGCTTTGGGCTCTGCTCTCACGGAGAATATTTATTTATATAGCATATTTTATTTTAGATCAACTAGAAACAATGTTACATTTATAAAGTTTTATTTTGAAATGTAAGTCAGTAACAATTGGCTGGAGCCAGAGACAATAGTGAAAGTCTTCACACGAGGAGACCCCACCCCATTTTGGAGGTTCTGCCCACTTTTGGAGTTCACGCCCCATTTTGGAGATCTCCGGTCTGCAGTTATACCTACTTGGAAAAATCTCTTACAAACACGAGTGAAAGGTAAAGATCAACCGTAGTGAAATTCATTCATATGCATAACTCATCTGAATGATGCTCCTTTTCACAGTCTGAAGTCCGCGTTATTATACCAGCACCCATTCAAGCCAGCGAATGATCACCCCCTGCTGGCCGGACTAAAAGTAGCTGCAGCAGCAAGTTTCATTGTCACAAACGGTCTCCTACCAGTGCACTGACCAGTCTGGCCTGCTTATCTTAAGTGAGGGACCAGAGTCTGCCTGCTGCATGCAGGAGCCAGTTTAATGCCGCTCCTAAACGACGATCTTTTTACAGGTCTAACGCTTTATTAAAAGGTTGCTTCTTTTTACAGTCTGAAGTCCGATTCCTTATGCTAAGACTTTTGCACCGATACAAGTCAGGGAATGAGCACCCCCTGCTGGCCGGACTAAAACTAGCGGCAGCAGCAAACTACATTTTCAAAAAACGGTCTCCCACCAGTGCACTGACCAGGCTCAGGCCTGCTTAGCTTTAGTGAAGTTTTTTTTATTTCTTTCTTAAAATAACACAAATTTCATATATGCACAGCCTTACATTTGAAGTATATGCAGAAAACAAAACAAAACAAAAAAAAGTTAAAACATTTCAGGCAAAATTACATTAAAACCAGACCATGTTTTTTTTTACAATGTATGGGTTATTTTCTACAATATATTTGTTAAATACATCCATTTGTCCATTCATATTAAAATAATCATATATGTCCTCTGTCACTGCAGTCAAATACTGTTTATAAGTTACATACCAGTCTGGCCTGCTTATCTTAAGTGAGGGACCAGAGTCTGCCTGCTGCATGCAGGAGCCAGTTTAATGCCGCTCCTAAACGACGATCTTTTTACAGGTCTAACGCTTTATTAAAAGGTTGCTTCTTTTTACAGTCTGAAGTCCGATTCCTTATGCTAAGACTTTTGCACCGATACAAGTCAGGGAATGAGCACCCCCTGCTGGCCGGACTAAAACTAGCGGCAGCAGCAAACTACATTTTCAAAAAACGGTCTCCCACCAGTGCACTGACCAGGCTCAGGCCTGCTTAGCTTTAGTGAAGTTTTTTTTAATTTCTTTCTTAAAATAACACAAATTTCATATATGCACAGCCTTACATTTGAAGTATATGCACAAAACAAAACAAAACAAAAAAAAGTTAAAACATTTCAGGCAAAATTACATTAAAACCAGACCATGTTTTTTTTTACAATGTATGGGTTATTTTCTACAATATATTTGTTAAATACATCCATTTGTCCATTCATATTAAAATAATCATATATGTCCTCTGTCACTGCAGTCAAATACTGTTTATAAGTTACATAATATCATTTTTTTCTTCAATTTCATTATATTCCTTCGTCTCCAAATCGTATATCTTGCTACTGTTAACCATAAATTTAAAGCATAAACATTTTGTTGCTTTTCCATTAAAGCCAAATAAAAACAATGTTTCCCATTCCTCTAACCAATCATTCTGATCACTTAAAAAAATCCTCCACAATTTTCCTTAACATCTTCATAAAATTGTCTAATGTTCTACATTTTAAAAACAAATGTAACACTCCTTCATAATCCGTGTATCATTCGATCACTCGTTTTTTGATTTAATATTGAAAGTAGAAAAATGAGAAAACGGCTCCTTTTTAGTTTTTTTGTTTTTTTCCAAAAACCGAAAAACGAGAATTCATCTTAAATTTTCGTTTTTCGTTCATGGGTGGAAAAATGAATAAACAGCTTGAATATTTGATTTCTACACGTGGGCGGGAATTAAACTCCCCTTTCTGCTGATTGGTCAGCCGAAGATCAACCCGTACCATCATCAGTTCTTCTGCAGTATCATGCAGCAGAATAATAGTCCTCCACTGCTGCAGTTGTACGGATTAATAATCCATTTGATCAATTTCATATTTTTCTCATCAAACAGACTAATGAATAGCTGGACACAAATCGTACCGGGGCAGAGTCTAGACAGGGCTTTCTTCTGTGTAGACGATAGGGGGTCCAAGAAATAATTTGCTATAGCCTAAAGTATTTCCAGACTGTAAAGTCGTTTTTTTTATCATGATACATAGGCCTACTGTGATTTATTCCAAAGTGACTTATATGATGCATTTAATGTAAAATGATCTAAATGA